GAAGAGCCGCTATGGTGTGCATGTTTGGGCCCTCCCAAAATTCACATATTGAGGTTTAATCTCCAATGTGATGGTATTAAGAGGTGGGGCCTTTACTGGTGCCCTTATAAAATAGGCCCAAGGGAGCCTGTTCACCTCTTCTACCATGTGAAGACACAGCTAGAAGATGGTTATCTCTGAAGCAGGACACGGACCCTCACCAACACCACATCTGCCAGCCTCCAGAGCTATGAGAAATAAATGTCTGTTGTTTCTAAGCCACTCTGTCTATGGTATTTTGTCACAGCAGCCAAAATGGACTAAGACAAGAGCTTTTGGAGGATTCTAACTCTCCATCATTAGAACTAGTGCCTGGAAAGGTAATAAGCTGCCCAGCGCAGGAAGCAATCAGCAGAGGCTGGTGACCACTGTTCACAGAAGCAATTCACGCCTCAGGTGGGGGTTTTTAAAGGTCCCTTCCAAACCTGACAGCTGGGAGCTGCAGCAGAATCCCAGAAAGGAGAAGGGTGTGATATACAGTTTACAGGAACGTTTAGAAAAATACTAAATGCTGAGAAGGGGAAATAACCAGGCCACCTACAGGAAACAATCCAACCCAGGCTTGCAGTGAATACAATTCCTATCCCCGATCCGCTCAGCTTTTCCTCAACATCACTGCATGCCAGGCAACATGCTAAATGTTGTGAACACAGAAAGGAAGACAGCTCAGACCCAGACCCGGAGAAGACCCAGCCACAAAAGAGCAGCCAGTGGAATGACAGAGGGGGGCTCCTTCCAGCTCTGCCTGGGGGAGCTAGGAAAGGTATCAGAGAGAAATTGACTTTCCAAGAATGAGTATGAGCTCCCCAGTCAAAGAACAAGTGCAGCCACTAGAATTCAATCCTGCACAAGATGGCTGTCACCAAGACTCTAATTCTGGGAAGATTTTTATGTAGGTATATAGATATAGACAAGTAGATATCTATACATATAGATATGTAAAAATCTATATCTACATAAATATACACACATGTGTATATTAAGTACACATATACATACAAATATATCTTTTTACATTTTTTTTCTTTTTGTTTTTGTTTTTTTTTTATTTCAGCATATTATGGGGGTACAGATTCATGGGGAAGGCATGGACTTCAAAAGTAAAGAGTACAGGTCTGGCACGGTGGCTCAGGCCTGTAATCCTAGCACTCCGGGAGATCAAGGCAGGAGGATTGCTCAAGGTCAGGAGCTCGAGATCAGCCTGAGCAAGAGTGAGACTTCGTCTCTACTAAAAATAGAAAGAAATTAGCCAGACAACTAAAAATATACAGAAATAATTAGTCAGGCATGGTGGTGCATGCCTGTAATACCAGCTACTCGGGAGGCTGAGGCAAAAGGATTGTTTGAGCCCAGGAGTTTGAGGCTGCTGTGAGCTATGCTGATGCCACAGCACTCTAGGCCAGGTGACAGAGTGAGACTCTGTCTCAAAAAATAAAAAAACTAAAGACTAGAAACAGTCAGTAGTTCAGCATCCTGGTCAGAAAACACCACTCCCCCTCCCTTACCAAGAGACCTGTACTCACAAGCTAGTCTAAGATGAAATGGTCTGGATTGGCTGACAGACAGTCTAGACAAGAAGTCACACAGGAGACTTTTATGCTTGTTTCTTTCTCAGCTCCCCATCTTCTGGGCCTCTGTTCTCCACGCACAGAGCAGAGGGTGTGAGCCCCAGCACAGGGCAGCTGGGGAGAAAGTCACATGTTGACATATGGCCTGACTTAGGGAGCCCCTGGCCACAGCGATCCTCTCCTGGTGGGCTAAGGGAAACCACCTGGGAGCCTAAGGTGTAGCCTGGGCTGCCGGTACTAACTTGAGCCTCTGGAACTGCAGGCCCAAAGGTGCCAAGTCTAGGGAAGCTCATTTCATCTGAATAGATTCAGGGAAGCATCGTCCTGAGCAATGATAAAAACTGTGCTGGTTACGTTCTCATAGCACTATATTTAGCAAATCCACAATATGCATGCCACCAGTGGCCTTTTCTGAGCCCAAGGCAGACATGACTAATCAATCACAATCTACTCTGACACTGACAGCAAGACCTCACCATCCTTCTAGACCAGGGGTTTTCAAACTTTTTAAACAGAGGGCCAGTTCACTGTCCCTCAGACCGTTGGAGGGCCAGACTATAGTTTAAAAAAAACTATGGACAAATTCCTATGCACACTGCACATATCTTATTTTGAAGTAAAAAAACAAATGGGCAAAAACACCCGCATGTGGCCCGCGGGCCATAGTTTGAGGATGCCGACTCTAGACATACCTTTCTAGGCAGCTGCTACTAAGTGCAATTCAGGTGCATGTCATAGTTTCCAAACATAATTCATATTTGATACCTAACTTGAATTTCATAAGCCTCCCAAAATTTCGGACAAAACAAGCATGGCAATCCTCACTTTAAAGATAGGAAAACAGAGGCAGCAGAGGTGAAGTGACTCTCGAGGTCCCAGAGTTTGAAGAGATGGAGCTGGGGCAGAACAAGGCGTCTCCTTTCTTTCTTGCTGCCTGCTCTGAAATGTGGCAAGGTTTCTTTCTGGTGGATGCACACCACATAACCCCCAAGCCTCAGTCAAAGTAGGCCCCCATGTGTAACGTGACCCTGCTGATGGGAACTTCTAAACCCAACTCAGGTACAAGTCACACTTTCCATGAAGACCTTACCCAAAAATGGTACCCATTCTTCTGAGGCTCTCAGCTGTGCACATTGTTTCTTTATTCCTAGCAAGAAGTGCAGTGCCGGCACACAGTAGGTGCTCAATAAGTGAAGGCGGGCAAAGTCCTGCACTAGGTTATCTCTGGCATGAAAAGTGACCTAACACAGCAGAGTGAAGGCTGACCCAGCTTAGACTTCTCACACAGACTAGTCATGTGATACTGGGCTCCTGAGCCTTGTCCAGACTCAATTTCCCTATCTGTAAAATGAGGAGGATACCACCTACTTGAAAAGGATGTTGAGAAAATTAAATTAGAGAAATTTTTTAAAGAGCTTGGTCCAAGTGATGATTAACAGTGCGAGGAAGAAGAAGAGGGAGGAGTGAGGCAGACAGACTTTACAGTGATTCCCAAGGACGCCCACACTGTCATCCCTGCCCTTGTACATGCCCCTCCCTTGCAGTGTGGGCAGAACCTATTACTTGCTTCTAACCAATGGAACACAGCCAAGGGATGAGCTATTACACCCAAGATCACATAACATCATATAAGATTTTGTATCTTGCTAGCAGACGTGCTCCAGAAACATTCTCCCTTGATGGCATGAAGAAGTAGGTGGCCATAATAGGGGACCCTTGCGGCAAGGAGCTGTGAGCAGTTTCCAGGAAGTGAGAGTGGCCTCCAGCTGACAGCCAGTGAGAAATCAGGACCCCAACTCCTATAATTGCAAGGAAAAGAGTTCTGCCAACAACCTGAGTGGCTATAAAAGCAAACCCCTCCCCAGTCAAGCCTCCAGATGAGAATGCAGCCCTGGCCAATAGCTTGCCTGCAGCCTTGAGAGAGGCACCTGGCTAAGCCATGCCTAGACTCCTGATGCTAGAAGCTGCAACATAATAAATGTGTTGTTTTAAGCAGACAAGTTTGTTAACAATTTTTTACACAGCAAGGAAAATTAATACAGGAAGGGGACAAAAAGGGAGAGAAAGAAGAGGACCAATGGCACCTCATCTTAAGAAATTAATCTAGGGCAGTAGGGAAACTTTTCCCTCTTTGAGGAGCAGCAGCAGTCTAAAAGTTTCAGCTGAGGCCAGCCTGTGTTTTCATGTACACTCTCTGCAGATCTGAACAGAGCTCCAACTATGAAAGGCAACTTCTCAGGCTTGAAGGGTAAGCAAACTTTTCCATAACAACATGCCGGAGGGGCTGGGGCTTCTGTCCTTTCCCTGCACCTTCTCCCTGGCACGATTGGCTGCCAAGGCTACCAGTGACAACAATCAGACCAATGCCACCTAACTGACCTCCTGCCTGCTCAGTCTGCTTTGAGCTCTCAAGCAGGCCCAGGGGGCAGTTCTCATAAGGCCTAAGGCACAGCGGTGGCCAGTGTCCACCTGCCTGCCTTCCCAGGAGGGACCCTCTCCTCCCAGCACAAAGCCAAAGCATGAAAAACTCTACTGCTCAAGTTCCTCCCCCTACTATTAAAACCTGAAGCAACCAACTTTCTCCAGAGTTTTGGCCTTTGATTTCTCAGACCCAGTTAGAGTTGGCAGGATTAAACCAGCTCTGCGTTACTTAAAAAAATATCTATATATTTCCAGAGTAGTCCACAAAAAATGTACCATCCAAGAGTGGAAATGAGAAAGCCCGAAAGACAGGAGGAGGCAAGAGGAGGGGAAGAGCACCCCTCTCCAAAGCCACCAGCAATGCCCTCTGGCCTTGGCCAGTCTTTCCTCTAAGAAGATCAAGAAGAGATTACTGTGTGTGTGCGAACTTAATAAGGAAAGTAAAAAAGCAAGCTGGTACCCATACAACCTGAGTCAAAACATGGAACCTGGCCGGGCGCGGTGGCTCACGCCTGTAATCCTAGCACTTTGGGAGGCCGAGCCGGGCGGATCGCTCAAGGTCAGGAGTTCGAAACCAGCCTGAGCGAGACCCCGTCTCTACCAAACATAAAAAGAAATTAATTGACCAACTAAAAATATATATACAAAAAATTAGCCGGGCATGGTGGTGCATGCCTGTAGTTCCAGCTACTCGGGAGGCTGAGGCAGTAGGATCGCTGAGCCCAGGAGTTTGAGGTTGCTGTGAGCCAGGCTGAAGCCACGGCACTCACTCTAGCCTGGGCAACAAAGTGAGACTCTGTCTCAAAAAAAACAAAAAAACAAAAAAACATGGACCCTTATTTGATTGTTGCTGCATGGGAAACACTTCCTCCTTCTTAGAGATTTAGGTATTCCATTGCCCTCACTCCACGAGGCTCCTTCTGGGCTGGCTCCACTGTGACTCATAGCTTTCAAGGTAAAATCTGCTCTTACCCACAACCTGGATGATCTGGGCCAGGAGGACGCCATCCGTCACATCTTGCTGGAGATCCTTGATGAGACGCTTGTGGCCGGATTTGGCTAGATAATGATTGGCCCAGTCCGTGTAGATCTGCAAAAAAGCAAACAGGCAGCTTGAGGAAGCCAGTCGGACCCCATCTTCAAGTCTGAGGCAGCTGCTCAGGCCGGCGCAGCAGCCACCGTCCCACGGGCGAGCTTCCCGGACCAGCCAACACCATTAAAATTCAGGGCATTGTGTTGATCGGGCATTCAGCTAACCATCGCTGGGCTTGCGCTATTGAGAGATCTGCCGTCAAGGCTCAGGGAAAAAGCTAAAGAAAGCTTCAAAACATGCGGAGGCCTGAATGGGGCAGGGGACACGGAACTAAACAGTCTGCTCCAGACGGCTTTGAGAGGCTGCGGCTCTAGATGCAAGCGAAGTCTCCCCCACCCCCTCGCATCTTTTTCTCTTTATTGAGAAAACGTATGGGGAGGTTACCACCCAACAAGCATCTCTTAGCGGGGCCACTGCAGGGTAAGGGGGGCTATTGAGTTAGCCGAGTTCTCAGGAGCCTGGGTCCCTTGTAAAGAAGCCAAGTAGGAAAACAAAGCCCCCTCAATTATTTGTGTGTGAGTGGAATTATTTACGGCCTCACAATAATCTCAAATTTAATTGGCTTAATTTAAAAGCCAGGCATCGTTTTCACTGTTGGGGTTCTGTGAACAAAATCCACCAAATTGCGACATAGTTAAACACAATGCTGGTGTGCACAGCGCCCTGGAAGGCAATGGCAGGGTCATGCGTGGAATCGGGACAGGAGACCCCTTGGGGAACATACCAGACCCATATGACAACTTCTTGGTCACGGAATCATCAAGGCAAAAGAATATTTTCCTTTTGTATGTTGTCACATTGCTCCATTTATTAAATTAATGGAATATAACAGTTGTATATATTCAGGGGGGTACACAAAAGAATATTTTCTTCTAAACAGTCCAACAATCACAAGAAAATTGTCACCTGAAAACTTTCTCCCCAACTGTCAAAGCCAAAAACAAACACCAAAACACCCGCCCCCATCAATTCTGAGTGCTAAGGTCCACGTATGGATTTGTGAGCTTGTAGCAGGGTGTGTCTGTGGACATGTGGGCCCTTGCTTATCGGCGCCTCTTTTGTTTCCCCAGAGTGAGATGAACAAATGACTACTCAGAAAGAGAACTGTCCCACCTCACCTGGTTAGTAGCAACAGGTTCACATACTGATCCACACCATGCCTCCCCCAAAATGGTGATCATTCTATCTCCAACTACCTGTGTGACTCCCAGAGCAGCAGAAGTTCTCGCCCTCGCCCAGGCTCTCATTCTCCATCCTGTTTCCAAACAGTCCGCCCAGGATGAACTGTCCCCTCAAGCCTCCTGGAATGGGAACAGGAGCCAGGGCTGGACTTGCAAAGCGGGGCCCCTGCAGGGAGGCAGCATCTCTGGCTACTCTACCTGGGGACCACGAGGACCTCGTTCCAAGAAGGGGCGAGGCAGAGCTGTAGTACGTTCTAGGTCATCAAGAGGTGACAGCAACGGTACCTGCCTATCACCCACCCAGCTCTGTCTTCCACTGCAGAGACCCAAAAGCAGGAGAGGCACACCCACAGCACGCTCCTATGTTATACTGCAGCCCGATGACCCCATCCTTAAATCCACACTGGTCTTCTTCTCTGTGACTCCCAAGTTGCCAAAGACCAAAAATCTAGTAAAGCAAGATCATTTTCAATTTTATAAGTACAGACAAAGCTAAGGAAATGGACCGCCATCTTGGTAATTACAATGAAAAATGCGAAATCTAAAAGGTCATTAAGTGATACTGTTAAGTGGAAGGCAAATAAATATTAAAAGGAAAAGAGGCAGACCTGGGTTTAATTCCTAGCTCTGTAGGCCCCACAGCGGTAGGAATTTGGGTCTGTTTTGTTCAATGATGTATCTCAAGTACTTATAATAGCACAACGCACATTAGAATTTCCCAATATATATCTGTGGATGGATGGATGGATGACCTCGCCTCATATGAGCTACTTAACCTCTCTGAGACTAAGTTTTCTCATCTGTAAAATTAGGAACCAAGCTGCACATCACCACGCACCCCTCCCCCACCCCAGTCTGTGGAAAAATTGTCTTCCATGAAACTTAGGACTCAGCCAGCCCCCATCACTTGAATTGCTGCCTGAGTTCCGGCTACCTACCAACCCCCCTACCACCCCCAACCCCCTATCCGTGGAGTAACTGGCTTCCATGAAACCTGTCCCTGGTGCCAGAAAGGTTAGGGACCACTGCTATCTATCTGTCAGTTATTCTGAAGACTGATTACTGCAAAGGATTGGTAAAAAGTACTTTATGCAGAATAGGAAGTGCCTGCTACATGCTAGGCACTGGTATAAACACTCTACACATGTTAACTCACATGATCCTCATTCTGTACAGTAGATACCATTATGATGTCCACTTTTTGGAAGAGAAAACAGAAGAGTACAGAGGTAAAGTAACTTGTCCAAGGCCACAAGGAGAGCCAGGATTTGAGCCCAAGCTGACTTATTTGAGAATGGGTTAGACACTACAATACTGCCTCCCTGAGTACAAATATGAATGTTAGTCGAGTCATTCATCCCTCCATGACACCCTCCCACTGGCTCTAGACGCATCCCTCCCTTCAGTTATGTTCTCACTGAAGGAATTAAAAAAAAAATTCAAAACCCAAGCCTAGTTCTAACCCTTGTTATCTGAATGTGTTTGGATAAGTCACTCAACTTTTCTGGGCTTCAGTTCATTCACCTGTAAAATGGGCATAATAAGGCCCACCTAAGAAGGTAGTTATGAAGACTCAGCAAGGTATCGAATAGAAGCCCCCAGCCCGCCCGCGCTGGGGCTCAGGAAGTGCAGGCAGTGGAGGAGGCTGGTGAAGAAGAGGGCTTTGGCGTGGACAGACTTGCTTTACATCTTAGCCACTGCGCTGCCGATAACCTCTGTGCCCTCTGGCTGAGCTGTCCTCATTTGCAGGATGGTAATCATACCTACATCATCAGGCTATCACAAAAATGAAATGAGCTCACACGTATAAAGGACACGGAATCTAGTGCACGCCAGGTGTTCAGTAAATAAAAGCTAATAATTAGAAATTCTACTACTGGCACCATAAAATGGGCCATAACCAAACCAGCCACAGCCTCTACCCTCAACCTCCAGGACACAAATGACTCAAGGACTTCTTCCCCTTCTCACAGCAAAATGTCAAGAGTCTGGAATATGCCCCACCTGGAATCACAAAGTGTGGCAGAGTATAAAAGTAAAGCAGGTTAATGGCCTGGCAAAGTGGGTTTATACCTGTCATACCTAGCCACTCTGGGAGGCCAAGGCAGAAGATATTGCTTAGGGGTCAGGAGTTCGAGACCACCTGATGCAAGAGCAAGATTGTCTTTTGATGGTCTACTGTTAATTTAGAAGAAAGGTTCGGCGATCTAACTAATATTTGGAGGAGAGATAGGATTAGTCACAGGTGTTTGTGTGGTCTTTGGGTTCTGCCCAGTTCGAAGCACTTATTGGGGCTGAGGCTATTGGGGATGGGATACGCTTTTTTGTGACCCAGAGTTTGTAGTGTATTGTGTGGAGCCTTAGTTTTGATGACATCCATACGGCACTCACTCTAGCCGGCATACTTAGATAGTGAAACTCTGTTTTCTAAGAATAAAAAAAAAAAAGTAAAAGCAGGTCAAGGGGAACCAGCCAGGCTGGTACACAGAGCAAGGCTTCTTCCCACTTGAGATCATATGGAGTGTCAGCCCACGACTGTGTTGCTATAGGACCCCTAATTGGTTCTTCTTAGAGCACGTTACGTGTGTACCAGGACATCCTTGTTAAGTGTTATTAGCCCAATCACTCGTTTGTTAGACATACAGCTGAATACAAGTGGCAAAGTGATAAGGGTACTTGTGTTGACGGGGAAGTGTAATGGTAGGATTTTTGAGCTGTTTTCTTTGCCACGGCGGTGTGTCTATGATTGCATTTAAGGTTAGTGTAGTCTTATTTATTTATTTTAATTTAGTCGTATTGTGATCTTTGGGGGTAGATTCTAATATTTAAGTTTAGCAGTAGTTATGTTGGTTGGGTGTGGCGATGTGCTCTCTCGTCTGAGGACTTTGATTTAATCTTGTAAAGTTGTATTGTGTCACTAGTTAATTACGTGGGGAGTGACTCATTGGAATCTATTATATCTGAAGATATATCCCGCATAATTATATGTGTTCCAGCTATAGAAACCAAGGGTTGAGCTATATGTGTACATCTTAGAGGTGAACGAGTGATCCTATATGACCACACACCACAACACACACACACACACACAACACACACACACACACACACACACTGTAAAGCCACAGTGAGGCCAGGCAAGTATCAGGTACACCAGGGAGAACTTTCAAAGGCCGCAGTGTTCAGAAATGGCTCTGCCAAAGGAGTGAACCTTTCTACTCCAAAAGAAGAACTCTTCTTCTCTCAACTTTAATCTACCTTCACACCACTGCCTAATGAATCTTCCAGGCACAGGTCTAATCTAATGGCCTGTTAAAAAAAGAAAAAAAAATCACAATGGCTCCCCACTTCCCACTGAATTAAAGGCAAACTTTTCACACCGTGAGTCAAGGCAGACTTATCATCCGTCTGTTCTTCCCCAGAATGTATCCCGACCGTCAAGAGGAGACAGTATGTAGAAGAACACAGTCTTCGGAATCTGACCAAGTCAAGCTGCCCCTTAGCCCCGGGCAAGTTAATTTCTATTAAGCTTTCTGTTCCTCAGTTATATCCTCCATAACATGGAGATTATACCAGTGTGTCATAAGGCAGGGGCTTGCAAACTGCGATCTGGGCCAATTCCAGCTGACCACCTGTGTATGTAAACAAAGTTCTATTGAGACACAGCCACATCCGTTTGCTGTCTCTGATTGCTTTCATGCTATAAGAGCAAAGCTGGGCAGTTAAGAGCGAGAGAGCTTTTAGCCCACAAAACCTGAAACATTGACTGTCCAGCTCTTCCTAGAAGTGGTTTGCCAGTCTGTGTTACAAGAAATG